TAGTATATATAATATATATAAGCTATATAATTTACAAGAAATTGCCTTAGATAATTTTTTTTTTTTAAAAAAGCCAGGCCCACTTAGGCCCACACACATATAAGTCATGTATATATATATATAAGCTATATAATTTACAAGAAATTGCCTTAATTAATTTTTTTTTTAAAAAAATAGGCCAGACACACTTAGGCCCAGGCCCGACCCACTTAGCCCGGGACCATTAGTTCGTGGTCCCTGTCCCGGTTCGGTTACATCCAAAAGCCCACGAAGCCCGGAACTGTTTAAGCCCGGCCTACGAAGCACGAGCTCACATAGAACCGGCCCACTTAGGACCGGCTCTCGAGGCCCGTTTAGGCCCGGGCCCGGACCGTTTGCCACCCTTAAATGGAACTATGGAAGTACCTACTAGTCTAATATACTCCTAATTGCAAAATCTCCTCTTTTTTTTTTTGGTGTTTTTCAAAAGTCAAACTAAATTATTTATGGAAATATTTTCTAAATATCCACTTCCATCATTTTCATGAAAATGCAACTTATAGTACTTTCATGTAAATCGAAATTTTGCTTGCAGAAAATGGATTAAGATCATCGAATGTAGTTAAATGCCAAATACATTTTAGGATCCAAAAAGTATACATTTAATTGCGTCACAGTTAAGGAACAAATGATGCCTGTCAAAAACAGCTAGTGATACTAATATTTATTTGACAGTATAGCTTAAAATATGAAAACTGGCATGTGAATGCCAACATTTCTTAGCAATTAACATTGGAAGTGCAAAATGACTGCCTACTGACAATTGCCTGCTTCTTTCAAGAACTCAGCTCTAGTCCTCCAATATTTAATGCCATAGTTTCTACAAAAATCCCAGTTATCTTTGCTTTGCTGTCTCTCTGTCCTAATAATTTCTTCACCTAACCAACTCTAATTCAAAGAAACCTAAATCAATAATAACAAAAAGAATTACAAATATTAAAACAGCGTCCTTTGTTATTCAGGTCAAGCAGAAATGACAAGCAAAGTTCTTTTTCCTATTCTACTTCCAATTCTGCTTCTCTCTCTGTCATATTTTGTGGTAGCAAAATCTGTGTTTGAACCATGTAATGCATCTGATTCATGTCCCTCTTATCTCTTGTATCGCCTTCCACTGGACTCCAAGATTTCTGAAATAGCATTCAGGTTTAAAGTCAATGTCTCTGATCTTTTAGCAGCCAATTTTATTGATTCAAATCAAGTAAACCAAATCCTACCTGAAAAATCATTTGTGAAAATACCCATTTTGTGTTCATGTGTCAATGGCATACGACGATTTTCGTCTACTCATTACACGATTGGAGTAGCTGATACATTGATGTCAATATCAGAACTGTATGGAGGACTTGTTAGTGCAGAACAAATTGGGATTGCTAATGGAGTTGATGCACAACATCCTTTAGCCAGTGGACAGAGTCTTGTGATTCCTTTGCCATGTACATGTTTCAATAATAGTAATAATGGTGTAGCCAGTGTGTACATGTCATATGTGGTACAGAGTGGAGATGACTTAACAAGAATTGCAGCAGAATATGGTGTCACAACTGGTAATTTGGAGATCATAAATGGACTTGGTCAACCTCAAATTGATCCTGGAGATATTCTGGCTATTCCTCTTGCTGGTAAGTAAACCAAAGCCCCCCCCC